AAAGAAACAGTAATGCCAGCTGGTGGAGACATGGTTGTCTAGATTATTTCTTTCTCTCCCTCTTCTTCCCTCTTCTGCTGTTATCTAGGCTATTCTCAGCTCTTGGTCCATTTTTTCAGTGGCTTCTCAACCACATTAACCTATTACCTACTACCTACTCCCTTATAGCCAAGCAGGTCCCTTTTTGAACAGTCCTTTTTACAGTCCTACATAATCCTTTTGCTCATCTTTTTTACTATATCTGTCATCAAGGTAGCCGGGAAATGTAGTTCTTTGAGGATGTATTGCCTGCCTGAAATAAATCACAATAACTACTAGGAAAAGGGGAAAATGCATTGAGGTGCATCGTGCATTCTCCAAGATGTGTATAGTTTTTATGAAACTCCCATACAAATTTTGTAGTCTTTCTATACTTAACACTTTATTAGGAACATCTTCTATTTTTCTTCAATAGTGACTTAATACCATTCATAAATGCATTATTACAACTATCCTCATATCTTTCACATGTGGGCTAGTTTTGGTTTTTGACAATTATAAACAATTCTTTGATGAGATGCTTTTGTGTGGGGTGGAGGATGGTTATTGGAAGTTGAAGGCAGGACCTTGAGTATGCTAAGCACACTCTCCACCATTATAATCCTTACTCCTCTATAGTTCTTATAGCTAAATCTTAAAAAAGGTCACTACAAATGAAATCATTGAATCAAAGGTTATGTTTATTTTCTATTTATTTTGGGGAGCAGTATTGGGAATTGGACTCAAGACCTCAAACTTGCTAGACAGGTGCTGTACCACTGGGGTATATCTATCTCTATGGCCTTTTTTCATTGGTTATTTTTGAGGTAGGGTCTTGATTTTTTGCCTGGGTGGCCTGGGGTACAGTCCTCCCATTTATACTTCCCTATGTCATTAGGGGGTGATAGGTATACACCACTGTACCCAGTCATTAGTTGAGATGGAGGCTTACAAACCTCTTTTATTGGCTACCTTTGAAGTAATTAGGATTATAAGCTTAAGCCACTATCCTCAGCAAGGGTATATTTATTTTGAGACTTCAAATACATATTCCAAAATGTCTTCTAAAAGATTTCTGTATCAACCTTGTTCAAAAGTGCAAAACATAAATTTGTTATAACTAATATTTGGTTAAATTGAGAGACACTTAAAAAAATTGTACTTCAGCCTAGATGTGGTGGCATATGCCTATAATCTCAAAATGCTTGGGAGGTGGAAGTTGGAGGATCCTGGTCTGAGGCCAGCTGGGCAAAGTGTGAGATCTTATCTGTAAAACAAACCAAAATGGACCATGGGTATGACTCACAAGATAGAACGCTTGCCTAATAAGCCTGAGTTTCTAAATTCAATCCCCAGTGCTGAGGGAAAAAAAAAGTATTGCCCACATTTGATTGCTTCAAAGCAAACCTGAATGATCTGAAATGAATGAGTCATCACATTTGCTGAATGTCTAGGTATGAAGAGAAATTTAAATATTAATTGTACTCATGCATCTTAAGGAACATGGATTTTTGAGCAATATAGAGTTACTGAAATAGGTACAAACCTGTGGAGGTATCTTTAAAAGAGAAGGTATCTTAAACATTCATTTTTGTTAACTGTTTTTAATAGCTATCATGGTTTGCATCCCAAAAAGATAGTGATATTAAACAGTATCCAGTGCTCCCAAGAAGAACAGGTCTGTGGCTGATATGTAATTTAACTGTTCTGAGAAAGAAAATAGGTCATTGAAACATAGAATACATAGAATATGGGGTTAGAGCTTAATGGTAGAGCATTTACCTAGCATATGTGATGGTGGGCTTTTATTCTCAGTACTAAATAATGACTTGAAAATAGTCCAGGAAGGGGCTGGGAAGGTGGCTCAGTGGTAGAGCGCTTGCCTTGCATGCCAGAGGCCCTAGGTTCGATTCCTCAGCACCACATAAGCAAAAAGAAAAAAGCCGGAAGTGACACTGTGGCTCAAGTGGTAGAGCGCTAGCCTTGAGCTGAAGAGCTGAGGGACAGCGCCCAGGCCCAGAGTTCAGGCCCCACGACTGGACCCAAAAAAAAAGAAAAGAAAAGAAAATAGTCCAGGAAGATTTGTCAGGGCAAGGAGATGAGGGTTGTTCCAAAAGTCATATGACTTGCAATGAGAACTGTTTATATTGCCACAATATTTGCTCTTTTTCTCCCTCCCAGATTTGGTATAAGGGGAAAGAAGGTACATCTTTCATCTTCTTATGCTCATAAAGCACATTCTATTGCCAAATCCCCTGGTTTGTGTGATATGGAAAGAGAAGAGGAATACTGTATAATCTCAGAAGGAATCATCGAGGAATACCTAGCTTTTGACCACACAGATACGTAAGTGTTGTTTTAAACTTTTTATTCTGCTCCTATTTTGTGTTTCTGTTTTTTCTTAAACTATGCTATAGCTTAATCTATGACTGTTACTCATTTTCAATTAGCTAGTATATCCAGACTTTCTGTCCTTGGTTACTCTTTCCTTCACACACAGCTTCCTGAAATATCAGAGATTTTTAAGTGACTTAATTTTTTTCCTCTATGTAATTTCATTTTACCCTTTTGCAAATTGTCCCCAGTGGAAAATGAAACTCCAAGGGAGTTGAAGAAGTATAATAAACATTGCTTGTATAAATCCTATTTGAAAGGGGACTGTATCCATAGTTTGTATAAAACCTCATGCTTGGCACAGACTTTACAATCAACAATGCTAGTTTACGTCTCTTTTGACTTTTCTTCTTTATAGGATAGGTGAAAATTTTAGTGTCTAAATGATTTGTCTGGAGTGGAGCTAAAATTAAAATCATCTACATCCAGTGCTGTCTTCACTATTTCATGCTTTTTCTGAAACACTAACTCCGAAACTATTCCTTTTCAGCCTTCAAAAGTTCCAAAATAATTAATCATGGCAGCATAATCTGAAAATGAGGATTTTTGTTATGTGATTAGGTCATTAGTATGGTGTCACATGAGTCTGGCTTCTCCATGTCCTATTTCCCACTGCCATATTCACATACTCACATGGCCTTAGAGCCAGCAAAACAAAGACAGGTTTCTATATGTAGTTAACTAGTTACCAAAGAAACCTCATACATACTACCCTAGAGCCAACAAACACAGGCAGATTACTATATGTATCAGCACTGAGCTAACTCAATGTTACAGAAGAAACCCAAATATAGCTTCATATGGTTTTCTAGAGACCTCTCCCTTCCCTCTCACTTCTAGCCTGTATCAACTTATTTCTATCTTCTTTTTCTCAAATGAAAGCAGAGTTTCTATGCATTTTTTTTTTTTTTTTTTTGCAGAAGAGAAGGGAAGGGTGAGAAGAGAATATAGCTAGGCATCCATGGCTCACGCCTATAACATAGCCACTCAGGAGGCTAAGATCTGAGGATCTCAGCCTGGACAGGAGACTCCCTGAGACTCTCATCTTCAGTTAACGATGAAAAGCCAGAAGTGAAATGGCGGCTTCAAGTTGGAGACCTCCAGCCTTAGTGAAGTAGCTAAGAGACAGTGCTTAAGCCCAGAGTTCAAGCCCAGTACCAGCATGCGCGTGCGTCCCCCCCACCACACACACACCAAGTGGTGCAAGGATGTAGTCTTCTCTGTTGTCTTTTTTAGTTCACAAGCAGCTTCATATATGGGCTGTGTATGCTGGGCAAGGAGCAGGATTGGGATAAAGGGTACCAGCCACCTTCAGAAAAGCACTAAAAGGGCAGTGGTAAACACTAAGTGAAGAATAATCCTAAGTCTTTCCCCCTTGTTCTGTTCCAGGGAAGAGGAATTTCATGGAAACAAATCAGAAGCAGCTATAGACAAGCAGAAATTAGGGTACCCTCCCATTGCTCCATTTTACTGCATGAAAGAAGATGTTCTTGCTTATGTTTTTGACAATGTGTGGAGCAAGGTTATAGAATGTATGGAGCAATTGACACGTAGTCACTGGGAAGGATTTGCTTCTGGTAAGGATTTTTGTAAAAGAAGAGTTACAATTTCCAAACCCAAATCAGTTTACTGGGTTACATGCTTTATTAGTCCAAAAACTGGGTATGAGGAAAAAAAAAAGTGCTTTTCCTTTTCTTATATAACACAGCTCCAACCAGATATGAAGGGGTTTCTCAACATTTACACACACGCACACACACACACACGCACACACACACACACGCACACACACACACACACATTCTCCAGCCAACTGAATGTTCCATGCTTCAATTCAGTTCTCCACAATGTCTACCTGGAGAAAGTATTAGGTCCCAACATTTAAGGGATCTGTCCCACAAGCCTGCCCCATTGCAAATGACATTCACAAGCCTCTGGCTATGACCTGTGCTTCTGGCCCACCAGCTATAAACTTGCTAAGACAGTTCACAGAACTCAGGGAAATACTTTAGGTTTACAGGATTATTATAAAGAATATTATAAAGCATATAGATGAGTAGCCAGATGAAGAGATGCACAGGGCAAAGTATAAAGAAGGGATGTTGAGCTCCCATGCCCACATGGGACACATCACTTCAGGTACTTAAACATGTTCAGCAGTCTGGAAACTTTCATAGCCAGTCCTTCTGGTTTTTTTTTTTTTAGTGACAGCTTCATTACTTGGGCTAATTGATTAAATAATTGTTTCTTGGTGGCCAACTTAGCCTTAAGCCCCTCTCCCTTACTTAGTGTTCAAGGGAGTGGGGTGGGACTGTAAGTTCCAAACCTTAGCACACAATTGGGTTTCCCTGAGAGTTAAACCCCCACCCCCATAATTCTGAAATTATTCAGGACTCCTCAACCTTCAGTCATCTTACTAGCATATGAAAAGATATTTAATATTTTGGACATTACAAAGGTTTGCCAGAGACCAAATGATGACAGTTATATCACAAAGTGGGTCTGATTCATGTTTGTATTTCATACAGAAACTAATAGGCATTTAGTAAATATTTGAGAATGGGTACATTAATAACAAAGCTGTCTATGCTGATAGGCAGCATTAATACTTTCTCCTTCGATATGATTTTAAAAAAACCATTCAAGTGACATATACTTACCTCTTCAAACTGCTTTACTGAAGAGTAATTGATATATGCCCTGTCTATTTAAAGTGTACAATTTCATAAGTTCTATATCTATGCATGAAACCATCACCAGTCAATACAGTGAATATATCCATCACCTTCAAAAAGTTCATGCCCTTTCTGATCCCTTCTTTCTGCTTTAATCTGTCTCCCCATCCCAAAAGATCATATGCTTAGTGAAAAATGCCAGAGTACATGACACTAGATTCCATTCACATAAATCTCATTTTCTCCTAGGTTTGGAGGTTAGTTCCCTTAAACCAGGGCTGGTTTATGAGGTTTTTCTCAGCTTGTAGGTAGCCATCTTTTCCCTGAGTAGGGAATGTCTTTTTTGTTCTTGGTCTCCTTACTCAGTATGATTTTGAGATTCATCCATTTCATTGCTAAGTACCATTTCATTATACCACAGTTTATCATCTGTTGATGGACATTTGGGTTGCTTTGAACTCTAGGCTAGTCCATATAATGTTATGAACACTGGCAGATACTGGGAACACGTGTTTCTTTTAGGTAAATTCCTAGCAGAAGATTGTCTGGGTAATGTGTTATAAAGTATTTATATTGTTCTATATTACTGAACAAATCATCAGAAACTTAATGGCTTTAAATAACAAACATTTATAATGTCACACAATTATGAGTGAGAAGTCCTGAAACAACTTAGTCACTGGGTAGGGTTTCACAGGACTGTGATTAAAGAATTGGTCCAGGGGTTCTTATGTGGAGGCTCAGCTGGGAAATGGTCAATGTCTCCTTTTGTGTGCTCTCAGGAGCATAAGGTTTCTTGTGGTTCTTGTGGCATTCCTAGCAGCTTCAGTCATGAAGCCAGCAAAGTCAGTGAATTGAAAATGAAATTAAGGGCCGGGAATGTGACTTAGTGGTAGAGTGCTTACCTAGCATGCATGAAGCCCTGAGTTTGATTCCTCAGTACCACATAAACAGAAAAAGCTGGAAGTGGTGCTGTGGCTCAAGTGGTAAAGTACTAGCCTTGAGCCAAAGAAGCCCAGGGACAGTGCCCAGGACTGGCCAAAAAAAAAAACAAGTAAGAACGAACTCCATTTACAAAAGCACCAAGAAGAATAAGACTTAGGAATACATTTAAGGAAGTACAAGAGTTGAACACTGAAAACTACAAAATACTATAGAAAGATATTAGAGAAGACCTAAAGAAATTTAAAGGCATGCTATGTAAGACTTAAGATGGCATTACTTCACAAGTAGATCTGCAGGTTCAGTATAATATCTATCAAATTCCAATTTCCTGGAATGCGTGGTAGTGTTTTCCTTTTAGACAAGTTCCTGGGTTCAATGTCCAATACCACAAAAAATGTGAAACAAAACTACTCAACTATATTTTTTGCAGAAATGGGCAAAACTGATCCTGAAATTTACCTAAATACAAGAAACATGAATACGCAAAACAATAATAAAAAAAATGACCAGAGGACTCATATACCCTGATGCAAAAACTTAACAAAACTACAGTAATTAAAACGTGGAACTAGTATGAAGACATATAGATTAATGGAATAAAATCCAAGTCTAAAAATCCACACATCTATAGCCAATTGATTTTCATCAAGGTGTCAAGATCATTCAATGGGTGACTAGTCTTTTCAACAGTAAATGGTGCTAGAACAAGAGTGCATCAAGAATGAAGCTGGACCTTGACCTCAAACCATATAAAAACATCAACTCAGATGTGGACTGCAGACCTAAATTTAAGAGCTCAAATTACAAAAAAAAAAAAAAAAAAGAAATCTTAGAAGAAAACAGGAATGGATTTTCATAACGTTGGATATAACATCAAGAGAATGAGTAGCAAAAGAATAAGTTGAATTTCATCAAAATTTAAAACTTTGTACATTGTTGGATGCCTGTGGTTCATGCCTATAATCCTAGATACTCAGGAAGCTGAGATCTGAGGATGGAGGTTCAAAGCCAGTTGGGGTAGGAAAGTCCATGAGAATCATATCCAGTTAGCCACCAAAAAGTCAAAAGTGAAGCTGTGGCCCAAGTGATAGAGAGCTAGCCTTGAACACAAAAGCTCAGGGACAGCACCCAGGCCCTGAGTTCAAGCCCCAGGACTGGTACCCAAAAAACAAGATACCACTTCATGCTCACCAGGTTATATATATTTTTAATAAATTCTATTTTTGTTTACATTAATTATACAGGGCAGGAAAGGGATTCCATTTCCACATGTTTACAATGTAGTCCAACTAATCTCACCCTCTCTATCACCTTCCCTCCCACCCCTTCTCAAAATAATCTCAACAGTTTCATTAATGATTCCGTTTTTGGTTGCCAGTCCTGGGATGCTGTTCCTGAGCTTATTTTTTCTTGCCCAAGTCTAGTGCTCTACCATTTGAGCCACTTTGAACTCTACCAGTGTGCTCCAATTTGGCTTTTTGGTAGTTAACTGGAGATAGTCTCATGTCCTTTCCTTTCTGGACTGGCTTTAAAACCATGGTCCTCAGATGGATAGCTAGGATTACTGTTGTGAGCCACCAGCGCCCAGCTGGTTTTTTTATTTAAGGGGGAAATAGGTATTGGTTAGAACATACAGAAACTAAAGCCCTCAAACAGTAATGGTAGGAATGCAACCCCAATATAGTCATCATATAGTATGGTACTTCCTTAAAATGTTAAACATAAAGCTGGGCACCTGTGGCTCACACCTATAATCCTAGCTACTCAGGAGGCTGAGATCTGAGGATTGTGGTTCAAAGCCAGCCTGGGCAGGAAATTCCATGAGACTCTTACCTCCAGTGAGCCACCAGAAAACAAGTGCTCAAGTGGTAGAGCATTCGCCTTGAGCTGACGAGCTCAGGGACAGTGCCCAGGCTCTGAGTTCAAGCCCCATGACCAATAGCAACAAAAAAGGTAAACATAAAATTACCATATGACCCAGAAAGTCCACTCGTTAGGTATAGTACCAAGAGAATTGAAAACATACATACAAAAACTTATGCATAAATGTTCATAACGTAGTTTTCATAATAGCCCCAGTGGAAACTCAAAATTCAGAATAGCCATGCATTATGGAATGAATAGTGTCCCTCTAAAATTCATATTTTGAAGCCCTAACCTTTACTGTGTCTTTATTTTGCGAAAGGGAATTTAGGGATTTCACCATGGTTGAGGGCCAAAGGGTGGGACCTTAAATCCATAAGGCTGGTGTTCTTATCAATGGAGGAAGACACACCAGAGCTATCTCTTTCCACACATGCACAGAGAAGAGGTCATATGAGGACACAGCAAGAAGGTGGCCACCCACAGCCAGGAACAGAGGCCTTACCAGAGACCAGCCCTGATGGCATCTTGATCTTGGGCTCCAGAACTGTAAGAAAATAAATGTCTTTTGTGTAATCCACTCCATCTGGTATTTTGTTAAAACAAATCCCTAGACTAAAACACCAAGCAATGGAATATCAGCCAACCATAAAAAGGAATTAAGAATTGACAAAATGGATGAAACTTGAAAACATTATATAAAAGGAGCCAACATAAAAGGCCATATCTTCTATGATTTCACTCAGATGAGCCAGAGTAGGAACCACAGAGGAAAACAGGTTAGTGGTTGTCAGGGGATAGAGGAAGAAGGGAATTAGGGGGTAGTTTCCTTTTGGAGTGATGGAAATTTTCTGAAATTAGTGGTGATGTTTACACTACATTGTTAATATACTTTTTTAAAGGAAAAAAATCCCACTTAATTGTATGCTTTAAAATAGACAAAAAGATAAATCTCGCCTCATTAAAAAGAAAAAAAACATTCTGCATGAAGAATGTCTTAACACTCCTTATAGATGGATCTGCTGGTAATTGTTTCTTTTCTAGATGTTTTGTTTTTGCAATTTTGTTAATTCCATATCAACAGCTTATGTATGTCCTAGTACTTGTCTAGAAGTTGTCTAGTTTCACTTGCATTATTTCTACATTTTTAAATTTAAAGTATAATTTTATGTAATTTACATAGTTTAAGTGTCCAGTTTACATTTTCTATTTCTTCTCCCTCATTTCTTCTGATCTTTTTATTTGGGTTCTCTTATTTCTAGTAACCTTATGCTAGTTTTATCATGCAGTTATATTATGTGCTTGTTATTGTTTTGTGCTTAACTGTTTAACTCATATTTTCAAGTCCTTTTTTTCTTTTTAAGACAGGGTCTCCCTGTATAGTTCAGGCTTTTCCTTGAACTTGCAGTCCTTCTGCTTCAGCTTTCCTAGTTGTTGGGAATCACAAGGCAATACCACCCTGTCTGGTGCTGTGTGTGTGTGTGTGTGTGTGTGTGTGTGTGTGTATGTGTTGCTGTGTGTGTGTGTGTGGTGTGTGTGTGTGTTAGTTTTTGGTGGTACTGGGTTTTGAACTTAGGGCCTTGCACTTGAGGGCCTTGCACTTGCTAGGCTGGCACTCTCCCACTTGAAGCATGTACTTTCATTATTTTTTAAATAAGGTATTTTAATAAAAGGCTAGCCTGGATCTTGATTCTCCCCCTTTTATACTTCCCATCTACCTGGAACAATAGGTACATGCCACCATGCCAAGTTATTGGTTGGGATGGAGAGACGGAGGTCTCAACATTTTAAGTGTTGTATAACTGTGTGTGGCTTGTGGCCACCACATAGGACAGCACAGATGTTAAACATGTTGCTGTGAATCAGAAGATATGTATGGATAATGGACTCTGTTCCTTTTTTCAGATGATGAGAGTAATGCTGCAGTTACGAGACCGGATTCAGAAAGTCCTCATGAGCTAAATGAACCACATCCTTTGGTGTTGCCTCGAGTGCCACAGTCTAAGATGTTGTCCGTCACCTCAAGCCCGGTAAGCCTCAGAGATGTCTCACATGGCCTAGCACTGTTCGTACCAAAGGAATGAGAGTTTGCCCAGGTTATTTAACTGTTTTATTTATGACAGGACAGTTGAAGGTTTATTGCTGATCAGTTTCAGCTGAAAAAAAGGCAAATTCAGATTGATAAGCTTAAGACAGTTCTTTTGAAAAGGCATGTGTGTTTAAGTTGTGCAATCTAGAAATAACTGTGTGGTTAGTCTACAGACATCTTTATGAAGAAAAGAGAGACTCTCTCAGATTTTCTGTGGCCTTAACATTTTTATTTAAGTCTGTTGATTATTTAAATATTTAAATCTGTTAACCTTTTGGCTTTTGGATATTTAGTGCATAGGTATAAAAGGAAAGCCAAAGGGAAGAGAAAAATCAAGTACGTCTCTAAATCAAGACTAATAAGCTGATGTATTCAGCTTCAATCACTGAAGATTTATGTGGTTGCAATTCCTACATGACAGTTTCCTAGCATTACTTAGGGTAAAAGATTAAAACAAAAAAGCCATGGTCATCAAACCTGAGTTTACTACCAGAATGAGTCATAAGTGCTTTTAGTATAGTGGCTAGGTATTGTATAGCTGGATTTAGTCCAAAGGGGTGAATATTGTTCTAGATAATAGTTCATTTAGAAATAAAACTAGCAGACTCACAGCTAAACGTATGGGGAAATAAGCCAGGTAGATGAATGTTTCTTTGTGACCTAGCACCTTAAACTAGTCTGGTTATGGTTTAGGTGGCCTTAGCTTTGAACAGTTAACTAGATTGGAAAATACATTTGGTACAGAGAAGATGGCCAAAGATCACTGAACTGACTAGAGAGAAAATACAAGCAGGGCTCTAAGCTAGCACTGCCAGTCCATTAAAACAGGAAAAATAAACTCTTGAAAATAGTCTTCAAAGCTGGGTGGTGGCTCACTCCTATAATCCTAACTACTCAGAAGGCTGAGATCTGAAGATTGTAGTTTGAAGCCAGCGTAGGCAGGAAAATCCATGAGAGCTGAGGGCTGGTGGCTCACACATACAATCCTAGCTACTCAGTAGGCTGAGATCTGAGGATCGCAGTTCATAACCAGTCCAGGCAGGAAAGTCTGTGAGACTCTCATCTCCAATTAACCACCAGAAAACCGGAAGTGGTGCTGTTGGCTCAAGTGGTAGAGGCCTAGCCTTGAGCTGAAGAGATCAGGAACAGTGCTCAGGCCCAGAGTTCAAGCCCCGTAACTGACCAAAAATAATAATAATAATAAAAGGGCTGGGAAGGTGGCTCAGTGGTAAGAGCGCTTGCCTTGCATGCCTGAGGCCTTGGGTTCGATTCCTCAGCACCATATAAGAAAAAAAAAAAGCCGGAGGTGACGCTGTGGCTCAAGTGGTAGAGCGCTAGCCTTGAGCTGAAGAGCTGAGGGACAGCGCCCAGGCCGAGAGTTCAGGCCCCACGACCGGACCCCCCCCAAAAAAAAAATAATAAAAGGCTATGAGACTCTTATCTCCAATTAAGCATCAAAAAAACTGGATATAGAGCTGTGGCTCAATTGATAGACTGCTAGCCTTGAGCACCAAAGCTCAGGAACAGCTCCCAGGCCCTGAGTTCAGCCCCAGGACCAGCACCAAAAAATAAAAAATAATAGGTTATCAAGCAAGCAAGGTTATATGTACCAACAGCCCCAGCTATTCACGATCACTTGAACCTATGAGTTTGAGACTAGCTTGGGAAATATAGCAAGCCTCCCCCACCAAACAAAGAAAAAAATACAAAACAAGAACTGGCAGTTCTATCAGTAGTGAAAGAGAAGGGATAAATTTTTCTCAGAACTCAGGGTTGTGTGATGGTAAGAGATCAAGAGTTTACCTGTATTCATATTATTTTTCCCTATTCCATTTGTAGATTTTTCTATTTAGGTTTTCTCTTCTATTGTAAGTAACAGTAGTCCTTTCTCCCCTTTGAGAGAGTCTTTCATGTAGGTTGACTGAATCTGCTATCAGTTAGAAACAGAGAGGAAAGAAAAGGATCAGGCCTACAGGGAACCTTGGGTCCTCAGTAAGAGCTACTGGCCAACAGTTATAAAAGTAAAGGCATGGAGGAAGAATGTACAGATGACCTAATAGAAACATTAACCTTGTCCAAGTTAGAATCAACCTTTACCAACTAATAATGAGTAACATCTTCTTTTGGCATGTAGATGAATTTCTGTCAAGCAAGTGTTCATCAGTCAAATATGAATGGTCTCTTGGTTCATGGGATGCCTCTACAGCCAAGAAACCTCTCCCTAATGGACAAGCTCCTGTAAGAAGTATAAAATATAAGCAAACTCTAAAGCTTAAGTAGATCACTGAGAAATAAAGGGAAAACAAAATCTGTCAAACACTGTGCCTTTTTGAGTACCTCAGCAATCACAGAGAAACCTGGGGAGTAAAACATCCAAGGGGCATGGTCACCCACACACATACAGAGGGAGCTGGTAACTGGGAGAGAAGACACATACGTAAAATGAGACCTAACCATGACTGAGGGATAAATGAGGGCAAGCAGACTGAGTGCAGCTCCACAAGAAGAAGCATTTTTGTTGGATAAGGAGAAAAGAGCAACAGGCCATTCTAAGTGGGAATAATAGTGTAGGAAAACTTAGAAATAAGAAAATGAAAATCAGAAAGAGCTATTTTTGCTATAATAGGACAGGAGGAGAAATACTAGACCTTTAATGCTTCTCATCAAAGATCATAGACAATCTATGTGCACACACTGCATGCTGGTACTCAGGCTTAAACCCAGGGCCTCTGCCTCACACTCGGCCTTTTCTGCTTATGGCTGCTGCTCTACCACTTGAGTTACTTCTGTTTTTTGTTGATTTCTTGGAGATGAGTCTTTTGAATTTGTCTGCCAGGGCTGGCTTCAAACCTCATTCCTCAGCCTCCTGCATAGTTACAGTGAGCCACTGATGCCCTGCTCTGGATGGTTTTGAATACAAGTTCTGTTGTTTTATCAGGTCTGGGGTTTCAAATCAGGGTCTTGTGCTTCTTAGTTAGAGAGGGGTCCCACCACTTGAACCATCATCCCTAAAGAAAGATTTGTTGTTGCTGTCTTCCTATTTGGCAATACTTGGGAGTGAACAAAAAAAAAAAAATCTCATGTGTGCTAGGTTAAATGCTTTATCCACTGAGCTATAATCTAGTCCCTTGAATGCTATGGTTTTGTGACAATCCATGCTATTGCACATGCTGAGTTAGTATTCTACTCAGAAGGTATCACAGTTTCTCTACTCTCCTGTTAACACTTGGGTTTTTTCTAGGTTAGAACTATTATGTATAAAAGCACTACAAATATTCTTGGGTATGCTTTTTTGTGGACTTTTTTGTCACATGTCTCTTGGGTCAATACCTACACGTGAAAGGATATGTTTTCAATTCCATAAACTGTCATAAAATTTCTCAAAATATTCTACTTTATACTTTAATCAGCAATGTTAGTTCCCAAAAGGAAGGGGTCCATATAGGAGTTGGAACATGAATTGTAAAGGTCTGCACTCCTGTGCTAGCACAGGATAAGAAAGAAGTGAACTGGGGCTTGGGCATAGCTGAGTGGTAGAACACACACCTGGCAGGTACAAGGTTTTGGCTCCCTCCCATCTACTACAAGACGTTTACAAGACTTTTTATGAGGTGTTTACTATTTTAGGAAATGTTATGCAAGAAATGAAATGCTATAGAAAGGAATCAAAGCTCTGAGATTTCAAGTAGAAGGGATTTGTTTTGAGGGGGAAAAATAAGTTTCTTTTGTGCTGTTTGCCAGTAGTGGGTCTTAAATTCAGGGCCTTGTGCTCTCATTTGGCTTTTTTTTCCCCACTCAAGGCTGGCACTCTATCACTTGAGCCACACCTCCACTTGAGAGGTCTTAAGTCTACAATAATGGGTTCATTTCAAGGGAAACATAGAAAAGATTAGATTTGCAGATTGATCTAAAAGCCATCTGGTTAGAGATGACTGAGCCTAGAATTAGAACAAAACAGACCAACACAGAGCAGCTAAAGTCCAAACACTGTAATGCAGGAGAATGTGTTAGATACAAAAAAACAAACAAAAAAACCCATGCAAACCATCAAACAGAAATCTGGGTCAAGTGACTGGTTAGAAGCAGGAAGACCACGAAAGAGCTCTTAAAATTCTCAAGGGGTATTCTCTCCAAATTAAGAGGTATTTCATACTAGATGTCAATCAAGTGGCCTCAAAGGTCAAGAAGCTTGCTGAAAACCAAGTGGCAAAACTTGGCTGCTTTATTCTTCCAATTTCCCATTTCACTGCACAGATACTGTCTCCTAATAATCTTACAATAGCCAAACCTCCTCTTATCTGCTTTAAAAGCTTAATAACCACCAATCAAAAAAAAAAAGCCCTAAGAAAAAACTCAAACGTGATTTAGAGTTTAAGTTACTGAAGTGTTTAGGCATGGTGTTTTATCAAATTACTTAAGAGTTGTTTTTCTCAGTAGTTTATGCAAATAGGAATCTATTGTGGGCTTAATCCTTTGCCTATTCCTAGCCTTCTAAAGATGTGAAAACCCATACCCCACTCCTGTAGGTTCCAATTAGCTGAGCATTGTTTGTGTGTGTGCATGTGTGCATGTACACATGTGTTAATACCAGGCTAAGGTACCAGACTCAGGGACCTGAACTCTCACTAGACTTTCTCACTCATGTCTGGTACTCTCCTTGAGCCTCTCCCTCCAGTCTGGCATTTTGTGAGATTGCTAGATGGGAGTCTCAAGGGCTTTTATATCTGGGATGGCTTCAAACCAAGCTCCTCTGATCTCAACCTCCAGTGTAGCTAGGATTATAGGTGTGAACCACTGGCTTTAGCCCAGCTGGAGCCACACTGGTTATCACAATACCTGCCTTTTAGTTCTTTCTAAAGTCATTCCCTTGGCTCAGAAATAATGCCTCCAATCTAGTAAGCAGGTACATGAAAAGTAGCAAACTTGTGGGAAGCATTGTGTGGTAGGTGTCTTCACTGATAGACAAGTGACTATACTGGCAAGTGAGTAATAGACTTGCTTTCTAAATCCCTAGTAATTATAACTGAAAGTATATTTTCCGCTTTTACTGACAGATTCTCATTAAGTATAGCACTCATCTATAATCCCAGAACTCAGGAAACTGAGACTGAAGGATTACAAATCTGAGGCCACTCTGGGCTACAAGCAACACCTATCTTTAAAATCAAAATACATTCCCCTAGATATCCTTCCAGAAACTACCATAAGTTACCAAAAGGTTTCTATTTTTGCTCCTGTCTTTCCTAAATACTTAGAATAAAGGCTTTTTACCCTGTGAATATTATTCCTACATAGTGACCTTTGTTTCATTGTGAGTTTCTGATTTGGCCACTAGTGATCTTGATGACAAGCTACTTATGAGGCCTGGGTCCAGTACCATCCTTTCAACTCGAAATTGGCCAAATCGAGCTTCGGACCTTAGTACATCATCTCTGTTATATACAGTGCAGTCCGCCAGGAGACGTAACCCCCCACCACGTACCCTTCACCCAATCAACACGAGCCATTCACGCACTGGAACACCAAGACCTGTGGAAGAAATCCTCAGAGGATCCCAAGTGTAGGTTTCAAAAGCAGAATTTTTGGAAACTGGTAAAACTGGGGAATATTATATAATGAACATAAACATAACTTAAAATATAAGACTTAAGCCTAGAAACTAATTCTTAAGATGGATTACCCATCTGTTTAAATCTAACAATAAAAATCTATCAAATAAGTTTAAATGCTAAATACTGGATCTGTTGATTTAGCTAAAGATTTCTAGCTTTTTGTTGTTGTTGTTTTTGGGTCCAGTCGTGGGGCCTGAACTCTGGGCCTGGGCGCTGTCCCTCAGCTCTTCAGCTCAAGGCTAGCACTCTACCACTTGAGCCACAGCAACACTTCGGCTTTTTTTCTCTTTTTGCTTATGTGGTGCTGAGGAACCGAACTCAGGGCCTCACGCATGCAAGGCAAGCACTCTACCACTGAGCCACCTTCCCAGCCCCAAGACTTCTATCTTTGAAATTTAAAATCTTTTTATTTAATAATATGGCAGCATTTAAGATTTCTAATCAGTCTGCTTCTGTTGTTACAACTTTCATTCTTTTCTAACTTGCCGTTTGCTGGTGGGATCCGCAGACCAGTGGCAGTCGACTCACTCTCCTCTCCCTCACCAATACCCTTGGGTCGAAATAACCTGCTACCACCTATTGGCACAGCTGAAGTGGACCATCTGCATACCATGGGGCCACCAAGGCAAATGGTATGTCTCCCTGATACTGCCTTTCTATATGCTTACTGTAACACCTCCTATCAGGAATTCTGCCCCATTTGCACTCTGGTCTTAATCAAAAGTACAAGGAGTTCTAATTGATGGACAACACATAGCACTCCAACCAGGGTTGATGTTGTACACTTGTAGGTCCCACTACAAATTTTAACTTTCTGTAACTTGTCTCTTGCAGAAGTCTCATGGCGATTCTAGTCGAGCTCGAAGTGCAGTGAATGAGCCCAAATACCAGCAGCCAAAGGAGAGGATCCTGTTACCTGACTTCTTCTCCAGGCCCAACACAACTCAGTCATTTTTGGTAGTGACATAATTCCTATTTGTTCTTGATGGCTGGGGAAGGAGTGTGGGGAAAGAACTCGTGTGGTAGGCTTAAGATTTTATCTAGTGGCTTAATTTACTCCAACAATAAGTTGAGGATAGAATAAATTTAAAAAATAGCATTCTGCATATATTTAGTTGAAATTCTGGTTCCTTCCCCAAATTCTTCTCAGGGACATGCCTTATCTGTAAACATTTAAAACAATTTCAATATTCTGAGCACAAGCAAAAATGCTAAACCCTAATGCTTATTAGGTGCCTGGTGGAATTACAACAAAAATGGGTCACACATAGGACTGTGCATTCGTGAGCTTTTCCCACTATGTTTTAACAACCCACACTGCCATCTATTTACAGTCTACTTTTAAAGCAGGTAAAATTAATCTTACTAAATTACTTTGAAGCATTTCACAAAGTAGTAGAAAAAACCTTAATTGGGAGACTGGATGCCATGGGATAACCTTTTCCATTTGTAGGTCAGGCGTGCAAGCCCACCTCATCTGCTGAGATAAAAGAGCTTGGAAAGCCGGGTGCCAGTGGCTCAGGCCTGTAATTCTAGCTACTCTAGAGGCTGAGATCTGAGAATTGTGGTTCAAAGCCAGCCTGGGCAGGAAAGTCCATGAGACTCTTATCTCCAATAAACCACTAGAAGTGGCACTGTGGCTCAAGTGGTAGAGCACTAGCCTTGAGCTGAAGAGCTGAGGGACAGCACCTAGGTCCAGAGTTCAAGCCCCACAACCGAAAAAAAAATTTTTTTTTTAAAAATGTGCTACTGTTCTTTGGTGCTTTCATCTACAATAGGGATAAGTAAACTACAATTCATGAGCTGTTGTTATAAAGAGTTTATTGGAATAGAACCACCAAGCTCAAGTGTCCTTGGCTGTTTTCACATAACAACTAAGCTGAGCTGTTTTAACAACTGCCATTGTCCACAAAGCCTAAGATAGAAACTACAAGGTCCTTTACCAAAAAAAAAAAAAAAAAGCTTGCTGAACTCCTATCTATACAGTATGGGGAACTTCACTGGAAAAAATTCCTTATGTCTTCCTATTCTGTCCAGTGCTTTCAACAGGGAATTTCTTACTCAAGTAACCCCAGCAGGGTGATATATATTAGTCATTAGTCATAATTTTACATTGTACACTCGTTGGGATAGCTTTGAAAAGTTGTTTTTTGTTGGTCATGGGACTTGAACTCAGTCTGGGTGCTGTCCCTCAGCTCTTCAGCTCAAGGTGCACACTCTACCACTTGATGAGCCACAGCAGCACTTCTGGTTTTCTATTGGTTTATTGGAGATAGGAGTCTCTCGGACTTTCCTGCCAGGGATGGCTTTGAACCTCGATTCTCAGATCTTAGCCTCCTGAGTAGCCATCAGGCCTGGCTTGAAATGTTTTTGAATTTCATAAAGCTAAAAAGCAGATGTAAGGCTAAATTTCAATATGATAGTCATAGTTCGACTTTTACTGAAAGAATAGGTTTGCTTTCAAATTAGGAGAAAGCAGGTAAGATTCTCTTGGCCTTGCATGGTAGCACATGCCTACAACCCCAGAACTTGGGAGGCCAAGGCAGGAGAAGCATGGGTTGAAGAGCAGGCTGGGCTACCTAGCAAGGCAAACAGAAAAACTCTCCTGGAAGCTAACTGCGATGTTATACCATATGGATCATGAAATAATCATATATGTGAATACTTCTTAAAGTTATATTAATAAAACTGTAAAACAAATGGATTGGTAGGTACCTGGCTTCAGATTTTCTACTCATAGTGCCTTTAGCCAACTTTAACCTCAGGTTGGTGGATGCTTTTTGCATTTTTTTTAATTTGAAGGGTTCCCTTATAAACCGGGCAAATTGTCTTTTGGGAGAAGTTAAATTTCAAAATATGTCTCATCTTTTTTTTAGCCAGATACACAGGATCGTCTTTGTACAGCTGAGTACTCTTATCACACCCGACCTGGCAGGAGATCTGCAGGTACAGATCTGGAGCCACAGCTCTGACCTTACTATGCTATGACCCTACTCCCTCCCTTATATTCCTTTACTCTAGACTTTCTTCTGTTTAGTTTCTTCCTATCTGTAAATCACCTCAACTTCATTCTGAAGGATAGTTACACTAGAGTTAAATTGCTAAAGCCAGAGTTCCACATTTCTGCTGGTTTTTTTTTCTGCACCATATAAATGAATCACTCCTCTGATAAACTTTGATTTTTTTAATTTAAAAATTTGAACCAAATAATCATCTTTATAGAATTTAGAATATCCCCCTTGAGAACACTGCTTTGATCAGTTTAATACTAGAACAAGAAAAAATTCCCACTTTTTTTTTTTTTTTGCTGATTCTGGGGCTTGAACTCAGGGCCTGGGCACTGTCCCTGAGCCATTGTGCTCAAGGCTAGCAATCTATACCACTTCCAACTTTTTCTGAGTGGTTTACTAGAGATAAGAGTCTCATGGACTTTCCTACCCAGGCTGGCTTTGAACCGTGATCCTCAGATCTCAGCCTCTTGAGTAGCTAGGATTACAGGTGTGAGCCACTGGTGCCCAGTTCCTACTATCATTTTATGCTAATTAAAAAACTGTGTTGAGAGTTGGGGAGGTGGGGAGGGAAGGGATGGTAGGGGAGAAACAAATGAGGGGTAACAATGCTCAATAAGAAATGTACTCATTATCTTACTCATGTAACCGTAACTCCTCTGTACAGTATCTTTACAATAAAAAAATAATGTATTAAAAAAAAAAAAACTGGGCTGAGGGGCTGGGAATGTAACCTAGTGGTAGGGTGCTTGTCTAGCATGCATGAAGCCCCAGGTTTGATTCCTCAGTACCATATACACAGAAAAAGCCAGAAATATAAGGTTAGAGGATGGCCCATTTGTAACACGAGATGTGCAAGACACTATGTTGAAAATGAACTTTACAACTGTGGGGGTGGGGAGAGTTGGGGAGGAAAGGGATGGTAGGAAAAAAACAAAGGGGGGAAGGTAACAATGCTTGATAGGAAATGAATTCATTATCTTGCTCATGTAACTGTAACCCCCTGTACAGTATCTTTACAATTAAAAAATATATAATAATAATAAAAATAAAAAGCTGGAAGTGATACTGTGGCTCAAGTGGTAGAGCTCTAGCCTTGAGCTGAAGAGCTCAGGGACAGCGCCCAGGCCCAGAGTTCAAGCCCTATGACAGACCAAAAAAAAAAAAAGGGCTGACAGCATGGTCAAAGCCATAAAGCACCTGCCTAGCAAGCTGGAAGCCTTCGGTGTACACTCTAGTAGCCACCCAAAAAAAATTTTTAAACATCAGAATAGGGAAAGTCTAGGGCTGGGAAGTTGGCTCAGTGGTAGAGCGCTTGCCTTGTATACCAGAGGCCCTGGGTTCGATTCCTCAGCACCACATAAGCAAAAAGAAAAAAGCTGGAAGTGGCGCTGTGGCTCAAGGGTTAGAGTGCTAGCCTGAAGAGCTGAGGGACAGCGCCTAGGCCCAGAGTTCAGGCCCACGACCGGACCCAAAAAAAAAAAATAGGGAAAGTCTTAAATGTTTTTCTTTTATTTTTAGTCTTTTAAGTTATATTCTGTAACTTAGTAAGAGTTTAGCACCTTTGGTCAAGTCTAACTACTGGCACTTAGGTGGTGGGGCAGATACCTGAGTCCTTTTTATTTGTGGCCTCTTCTACAAACTAGGTTACTGCTTTCTTAAGACTACAGCAGCTGGGGCTGGGAAGGTGGCTCAGTGGTGGAGCGCTTGCCTTGCAAGCATAAGGCCCTGGGTTCGATTCCTCAGCACCACATAAGCAAAAAGAAAAAAGCTGGAAGTGGTGCTTTGGCTCCAGTGGTAGAGTGCTAGCCTTGAGCTGAAGAGCTGAGGGACAGCACCCAGGCCCAGAGTTCAGGCCCCATGACCGGCAAAAAAAAAAAAAAGACTACAGCAGCTTTTTTCTTCATTTTTATATGATAAAATGTGTAAATGTAGGCTTTACAGCCTTGGAAAAATATGTTCTTTACTACTTAGTCCTGTTTCCAAATTTTGCTCCAATAACTACAGCAAAACTACAGCTCTCAATGGCTGAGAATGTTGGCTAAAGTCCTGGCATGGCTGCCTGGCAATCATGAGACCCCAAGTTCAAACCCCAGGATGGTAAAACAAAAAACCAACAGCCCAAGATAGGAAATTTGATATTGCTAAGACTAGACTGTTAACTAATAGTACCCTATGATCTCATCTGTGTTTGACAGGTCCTCAGTTCCATGGGTCTACAAAATCCCAAAGCAGGGGTGGACCAATCTCTAGAACCAAGCAAGGACTATAGGTCAAATGAGAAGAACCCATTAGGCTGCAGCAAACACAAGAGAAGACTTCATGAATCAGTGTTCAATCATCACATGATACAGAGTTTGTACTAGATCAACACACACCACCTTCCTGAAGAGTTATTCTGATACAACTGATGGGAAAAACACAAGAGTATCCACCAAAGACTGCATGGGTACTGTTTCTGCCTCCAGTTATGTCTTCTTTCAGCATAAGTCAACCTCTTCCAATGGACAGTGAAGATTGTACCCAAAGATGTAACAATGAATAATTATGCCCAAATCACTACTCATGTTGTCTGTTAACAATAATCAGTTTGATTATTATAGGATCTCGAAAGGATTTATACACAAAAAGCAACAAATAATTGTTTGATAATATCACTGGCTTAAGAATAGCTGCTTATATTAATATCTGGAAAATTGTACTCAGGTTTAAGTCAATGTAAGAGACAGTATTATGAACAGTTTGAGCTACTTATCCAATAAATGTCATTCCTACAGCTTTCTCTTTAGATGTTCAGTATCAGAATGAAATAGAAGGGCTTAGTAAAGACATAGCACTGGAATAAAGTAACATAGCAAATTGTCACTTTTTGTTCCCTCAGAAAAGACAGGTCAATCTTTTTTTTGGGGGGGGCGGGGGTCCGGTCATGGGCCCTGAACTCTGGGCCTGGGCGCTGTCCCTCAGCTCTTCAGCTCAAGGCTAGCACTCTACCACTTGAGCCACAGTGCCACTTCTGGCTTTTTTCTTTTTGCTTATGTGCTGCTGAGGAATCAAACCCAGGGCCTCTGGCATGCAAGGCAAGCGTTCTACCACTGAGCCACCTTCCCAGCCCCATAGACAGGTCAGTCTTATATAATGCCTGCTTGAGATCAGATTATGCTGATTTTCTTGGTACTTTTCTTCTAAAGCTAAGTTATTATTAAAAAGTAATTTACAAATAACCAATGCAAAAAAGGCTGGCAGCATGACTAAAATTACAGTAGAGTGCCTGCCTAGCAAGTAAAAAGCCTTGAGTTCAAATCCCAGGACTGCACATCTTGCTTTTTAAAAACCAAGATAGCCTTAAATATAACTGTGGGAGTTAGTCAAGTATAAACTTGTCCTCAGCGCAGCAGCAGAGAATTTTGGCATTCTGATCTTTATCACAGACATTTTCTCAAAGGCACTCATGAATATAGCAATGGTTTCACTATGCCTTAAATTCACTTTAGTTTCACTGAATACTAAACAATTATCACTTCAATTTTAGACTTTTACTGTTAATTTTCAGAGTGAATAAATTCAAATAATCGTAAGTTGAGGTAACTATTACAAATGTGTTCTAATGTTATCATAGGAAGACAGATGGTTCAAACAATCTGCATTAGATTGCATTTTAATACAATTAAAGAGTATTTTCAATGTGTAATCACAAACTAAAAATGTGTCATGTGCTTACCTTATATAAATTATGATGTTCATTAGCAAAAGGTTTTTTTTTTTTTTTGGGGGGGTCCGGTAATAGGGGCTGAACTCTGGGCCTGGGCGCTGTCCCTCAGCTCAAGGCTAGCGCTCTACCACTTGAGCCAAAGTGCCACTTCTGGCTTTTTTTTTTCCCTGCTTATGTGGTACGGAGGAATGGAACCTAGGGCCTAATGCATACAATGCAAGCGCTCTACCACTGAGCCACCTTCCCAGCCCAGCAAAAGGTTTTTTAGTGCATATAGTATATTAGTCTACAAATCAATTTAAAGTTGAAAAGTCCTTAAAAAATGCCCTATATAGGGCTGGGAAGGTGACTTAGTGGTAGAATGCATGATGAGGCCTTGGGTTCAATTCCTTAGTACCACATAAACAGAAAATGTTGGAAGTGGCACTGTGGCTCAAGTGGTAGAACACTAGCCTTGAGCACACAGAGAGGCTCAGGGACAGTACCTAAGAACTGAGTTGAAGCCCCAGGACTGGCACCCAAAAAACAAAACAAAAGCTAGTCTCTACCGTTGCAATGAGTCAGTACTTTGACTACACTATAAGAAAAAGTTTGATATCTAGATAGATAGATATCTCTAAGAAGTCGTTTAGCCCAATTCCCTTACATGTATACTAATTTTACAGATGTAGAAAGCAGCTCAACCAGCTGAGTGATCTGCCTAAGGACACTTGAGACAGTGCTACATTTCTTTATGCCACTGAAACTGGACGGCTGTGGTGCTGACTAGTTAGTTTTGTCATCTATCAACTGAATCATTTAAAAAACCACCAGAACTTAATATTTTACTTGTTTATTAGTTATATATGTCTTACAAAAATGTTAAAGGCAATCTGAACACCTGTTTCCCCTGTAGTAAAAGGGTAGAGTAGAGCACCTGTTCTAATGGAAGTGCACATCACTGAAAGCAACACAGAGTTCCCTGGGCAGAAGGCCCAGGAAGCAAGTGCTGTGGGGAAGGATATTTCCTCCCATCTATCAATATACTCCTTCTTGAGGACCTCATAGTGGGTCAAATTAATCCTAAGAAATACTAAAATCAGGTTCTGCTTGGTTTAGTTTTGAATCTTGGCAGGAAAGACAATTTCAAAGGTTTGCCTTTAAATCTTGACCGGACCTTGCCTATCATACCAATGAATACCTAAGGATCTTTAAAGAGAAAAAATTCCATTACTTCTTTTCTTTCTTGACAGCCGTTTTTTTCCTTCCTCCTTTGGAAGGTTTGCAGTATTTTGCTTCCATCTGAGCCAGAAAACTGTCCATTTCCTTTTGCCGATCCTTTTGTCTGCTCTGTTTGAGAAGTTAAAACACAGCTTTCAAAAGTTAATACTAGGCACCAACATGGAAAGTTCTTTATCGTTACCAGGGATGAGGGCATAGGAATAGTAGATGAGGAGTGACTGTTAAGGTATTAGGTTTCTTTTGGAGTGGTGAAATGTTCTTGCATTAGAGTGGTAATGATTGTTCAATTTTGCAAATGCAATAAAAACCACTGAATTTTAACTCTCAAAAACCCCAAATAGGTTTTAATAGGTTATTTAAAATAAAATACCACAAATAATCAACTGTAAAGAGAACATAAGAAAACTTAAAATTTTACCTGAATGAGTGCTTTCAAATTATCTACTCCTTCTTCAAGCCCCAACTCTCTTCTGCTCTTTTCTGCTTCTTTAGCCTCTTCTTCAGCCTGAGATAGAATTTCGTGAGATTCTCCACAGCAACCAGGAAATACTTAAAATATTCCTTTCCCTCCATCAAATCTTTAAGACCCTTTCAATTTTAGGACTATGCAAATGTCATTCATTAGAAGACCACGAACATTGCTAAGAGGAAGCAGTAGATCCTGATTCTAATCAACATATCATATAGGGTCTCTCTTTTTTTTTTGTGGCCAAGCTGGCCTTAAACCATGATCTTCCTATCTGCACCTCCCAAGTAGCTAAGCTTACAAGCATGAGCCATCAGAAATGTTTCTTTTTCATGATGGTATTTGGGCTTGAATGCAGTGCCTCTGAGTAAAACACTGCTCAGGGTAACACTGACCAAAAAGCATTATACTCAACCTGACTTGCAGAATTGTCACTTCTTTATATAATTACTTAATTCATAATAAATGAGAAAAAATTGGGGGCTAGAATGTAGCTCAGGAGCAAAGCACTTGCCTTGGAGGTGCAATGTCCTGTCACCAGTACCAAAATAGAAAAGACAAAAAAAAAATTAATTGCTCAAGCTTTCTTGCCCACTTATGGCTAGTGTTCTACCACATAAGCCACACATCTTCAGTCCAGCATTTTGCTGGTTAATTGGAAATAGAGTGTCACAGACCTTTCTAAGTGGTTTTGGCTTTGAACTGTAATCCCTCAGGTCTCAAACTCTTCAATACCTAGGATAACAGGCATGAGCCACTGGGGCTCAGCTTAACTTTCTCTACCTGTTTTTGAAGATACATTTACCAAATTTTCCAAAATACTGTAAGAATACTTAAGGACAGCAACTATAGCATTAAGTGGTCCTAAGCCCTGATGAATTTTGTAAAAAAGAATGAACCAGGAGTTAGTGGCTCATGCTTATAATCCTACCTACTCAGGAGTCTTGAGTTCTGAGCACTGAGGTTCAAAGCCAGCTCAGACAGTAAGTCTGTGAGACTCATCTCCAATGAACCACCAAAAGGCAGGAAGTGGAGTTGTGGCTTAAGTGATAAAGTACCAGCTTTGATCAAAAAGCTCAAGGACAGTGCCCAGGTCCAGGATTAAAGCCCTAGGACTGGTACAGACACGCAAAAAAGAATGCTTTGTTTTTGGATTTTTTGGGGGGATCAGTCATGGGACTTGAACTCTAGGCTTGAGCGCTGTCCCTCAGCTCTTCAGCTCAAGGCTATCACTCTATCACTTGAGCCACAGCACCACTTCTGGTTTTCTGGTGGTTAATTAGAAATTAGTGTCTCATGGACTTTCCTGCCTGGGCTGGCTTTAAACCGTGATCCTCAGATCTCTGCCTCCTGAGTAGCAAGATTACAGGTATGACCACTTGTGCCTGGCTAAAGATGCTATTGATACTGGATATTTTAACAAATTAGAATAGAGACTTTTTATATTCAAATAATCTACAAAACTTCAGAATCCCTCCTCCCAAGTTTGCTCAACAGGATCTCAAAACTATCTTTTCACCAGCTGCTGGTGGTTCACACTTATAATGCTACTCAGAAGGCTGAGATCTGAAAACCACAGTTCAAAGCCAGCCTGTGGAAGCAAAGTCTGTAAGATTGTTTTGTTTTTGTCGGTCATGGGGCCTGAACTCTGGGGCCTGAGCACTGTCCCTCAGCTCTTCAGCTCAAGGCTAGCGCCCTACCACTTGAGCTAAAGCACCACTTCCAGCTTTTTCTGCTTATGTGGTGCTGAGGAATCAAACCCAGGGCCTCATGCATGCAAGGCAAGCACTCTACCACTGAGCCACCTTCCCAGCCCCAGTCCGTAAGATTCTTATCTCCAATTAACCACCTGAAAACCAGAAGTGGGGCTGTGGCTCAAAGTGGTTGAGTGTTAGCCTTGAGCAAAGGAACTCGAGTTACAGTGCCCAGGCCCTTGACCTATCCTCACACCACAGGAAGTTTCTGATGCTGTAAAGCCTTTACTGTATACAGCTGTGTTCAGTTTTCCCAGAGAAAACATCTGTGAGCCTGAACTTAAGCGGAAAAAGCCCATGAAACAAAATGATGATCTCAATAAGACATTGCCTTATTGCCCTCATCACATAACCTGACCCTCTACACAGACCCTTTAATTTTCACCCAGAACAAAAAAGTCAGTTATTCTCTGCATTCCACCTTGTACCTAAAGCTGCAGATCTTCCTGACCCAGTTGGGAATAAGAAAGGGTAAGTACCTCTTCAAGACACAATCCTCCTCGGGCGCCAGTGGCTCACGCCTGTAATCCTAGCTACTCAGGAGGCTGAGATCTGAGGATTGTGGTTCAAAGCCAGCCCGGGAAGGAAAGTCCATGAGACTCTGATCTCCAATAAACCATTAGAAAACCAGAAGGGGCGCTGTGGCTCAAGTGGTAGAGCGCTCGCCTTGAGCTGAAGAGCTGAGGGACAATGCCCAAGCCCAGAGTTCAAGCCCCATGATAGACCAAAAAAAAAAAAAAAATCACAAT